CTGCGCACAACAGACAGATGGGTTAGATCTGAGGGATAGTGTATGATCCATGTTAGAAAGAGAAATTACTATACCACTAATAAACTTCTACTTCTACTACTGCACTACTGCTACTGCTACTGCTAGGTATCAGCTATGCTATAAAGAGAATGGACTCAGATTAAAATAAACAAGTTTGAATTAAGTGCTACTACTACTACTACTACAACTACTGCTACTACTACTACAACTACTACTGCTACTACAACAACAACTACTACTACTTGTTACTGCTGCTATCATTACTACCACTACTTTCTACTGGCTTCATTAGGGGCCATGTTGAGTAATTTTCTTCACAAAAAGTTCCCGGCTCTATCTCTATAGATAGAGACAGATAGATTCTTTATTGATCCACATAGGTACAGCGGTGTCCAAACCGGTCCAGAAAGAGGTGCTGTGGCTGCAGGTTTTCTATCAGACCCAGGAGTCTGCTCTGCTCCTGCTGGGTCTGATAGAAAACCTGCAGCCACAGTGGCCCTTCCTGGACCGGTTTGGACACTTCTGAGTAGGAGAAAGTCAAGAGTCCAGCAGCAGAAACACATGCATCCATTCAAACACAGAAATACACATGAGAAGTCACTGGGTTGATGCATTTGTGATGTTGGCCTCTGTCACATCTTTCGATAAGATTGTTAAGGTAGAAAAGTATTAGGGTTAGGGTTAGGGTTAGAGCGGACCGCCTTCAATCACTTCTCAACCCAAACAGTCAAATAGTGACTGATACGACCCAGCTTTAATCGGACAACTTGACCCAATCAAGTCACATGACCCATTATCCCAAAGAAAAGCCAAGAGATAAATGTCACTTTTTAATCTTGACGTCTCAAATTAACTGTGAAACTAGAGCTGGAATAAAAAAAAAAGTCTCTCTCAGTGTCACCTACAGGCCCCGTGTGTGTGTGTGTTTGTGTGTGTGTGTGTGTGTGTGTTTATACTCTCTAACTTTCTCATCATTAATCAAACAGACACTGTCAGTTTCCCCTACAGCGGATCATGAGGGTGTCGTGCATTCTATGTTTCAGTTTCTAGTAAAGTGATAACAGAGAAAAGTGAACTCAGTGGACGTTTGGAAATCAGATATTAGCTCCAAACAAAACTATTGACTGGTGAATTTATGCTCCTGCTGATCCAGCTTAAAATGTAGCCACTACTACTGCTACTACTACTACTACTACTACTACTACTACTACCACAGCTGCTGATAATACTACTGCTGATACTACACCTACTAATACTTCTGCTACAGCTACTTCTACTACTACAGTATGCTGCTAAAGCTGCTACTACTCCTACTATTACAGCTACCACTACTACTACTTCTGCTATATGGCAAATACCACTACTATTCTTTTATTACTACTACTACTACTACTAATACTACTCCTACTACTTCTTATACCACTAGATAGATAGATACTTTATGGATCCCCTGACTCATCCTCCGACTTATCCAGGTTTGTTGTACAGTCTGACAGCCGAAGGAATAAAGGATCTCTTTAATGTTCCGTTCGGCAGCGTAGTGATAGGAGCCTGTTGCTACGGTTACACCTTTGTGCGGCCATAGTGTCAGGCAGAGGGTGTCTGGAGTTACCCAGGAGGCCCTGCATTAGACCCATTTCCTGATCCGCCTGTCGAGCCCGTTACTGTCTCTGAGGTCAGACTGCCCCAACACTGACATCAATCAGAGCAGTTGCTTCTGGATTAGTGCTGTGGATCTGAACAGCAGTTTAACCAGAGAAATCTAGGTGGTTTCAGACTGAGGCTATTTACAGTCTATGGCCCTGGGTCTTCCCCTGGTTCATATGTGGCCTTTGAACCAAACACAAACACAGATCAAACAAAACCCAGAACACTTCATTCCTCGTTCTGACACATGATGGTGAGAATGTTGACGCTTTGAGATCGAATCCAACAAACACACATTGTTCGACTCTTGTACACAAAAAAACTAGTTGTGAACATAAAGAAAAGTCAGGAGACAGTCACACGATGGTATCAGCAGACGCCGACGGTTCCTCTTATCTCTCTCACATACTACAGTCGGATGCACAGATAACGCCTCATGTGACCAGGTGTGCAGACTCTACAGGTATCCGGATCATGTGACCAGTGTTGGGCAAGTTACTACAACAACAACAAAATACATTATCCATGACTTGCTTCTGTTATTTCAAAGTATTGCGTTGCTACATAAGGGGGGAAGCGGGCCCCGAGTGACAAAGTGAGACGGCAGAACTCATAATAATAAAAAGTGTAAATCAGAAGCTGTATTTCACACAAGCGCAACGTACAGTCCTGTCCCTTGGGTGTGTCTCCTTAATGAGGTTCACCGGTGAGCTTTGCAGATGAGATGGCTCCACCCGCATGGATTAGCCCGCAAAACAAAATGGCTGACAGAGACAACAGTTACAAATATACATTAATAAACTATGGCGTTAAAAAGTGGACAGAGAAACCTGCTTTGTCACACAATATTACTGTCTCTGGATTGTAACGCATTACACAACTACTGCGTTTCTTTGAAGTAACTTTCACCTAATATATACATACCAACTAATTGTACATGGCAAAAAGTGAAGAAAAATATGTAAAACCGTTCTCAAATTTGGCAAAAAGTTATCCTAATTCAAGCACAGTCTGAATAAGATAAGATTGACTTTATTGTTCTCACACAGGAGAAATTTACAAAAAATACTCAAATTAAGATAAACACCACTGAATTAATGCATTTATTACCTCATATTTCATCTTTTTTCCAGTGTAGCTTATGATGCTAGCGTGAGGCTAACAGTTATGTTCTTTAACAAACTCTAAATAATGAGTCTGTCCATCTGTAAAAGGTACTATTGTCCACATAGTTCTATTGTCCACATGGTGCTACTGTCCACATGGTGCTGCTTCTGCTTCAGCCTCAGGAACAACACTTCTAGATAAATACCGTGTGAGTAGATGTGTCTTGTGCTGATCTTGCGGTGGCAGATCATAAAAACAAAACACTATTCAATTATGGGTGCTAATTGGGGGCAGAAATCGGTTACAGAAAAATTAGCTAAATAATTGCGTATCTTTAAAAAATGCCCACAAATTAATTGCAGTTTTATTGTATTGTCTACTTCTAATAAACGTTCATTTATTCATATTTATATTTTTTAGACCTCTAGAAAAATCTTCGGAAATGTAGCCGGAAGTGCAATAGTTTAGCAGCTGATTTAAAGAACCTGACACAATCCCTCTTCATCAGCAATTCAGCAATTTTGTAGGACGGTAATTTCTAGCAACGCATTTAGGGGCCCCTCTTGCACCAAACTTCTCCTTCAAAGTTGTTTGACGTGGTCCGCTTGAAGATAAGTGAGTGAGTAAGTATGGTTTATATTTTAGCGCATTTTACAGACCAAGGTCACCCAAAGCTCTTTACAATGTTCATTCCACAAACGGTGATGAGGAAGCGAAACGCCGAACACACTGATCCAATAAAACCTCCGACCAAACACCATCCATTCACTCTGTCATTACATTCATACCTAATATGCATGTTTTTCAGTGGTAGGGGAAACCGGAGCACCCGGAGGAAACCTACGCAGACACGGGGAGAACATGCAAACTCCACTCAGAAAGGCCCTGTTCCGACCGTGATTCGCACCCAGGATCTTCTTGCGGAGAAGCGAGCGAGCTAACCACTCTGCCACGGGGCCGGATCATGCTGCAGCGAGTTTCAATGCAAAGTCAACGGTGACTTCCGATATTTAGTGAACGTGCATCCATGCGTTCATCTACACACGTCCATGCATCGTAACTTATTAATCGATGCGTAAATTTATTTTAACGCGATAAAATTAAACAATTCACGCAAAATGTTAACGCGATAATTTTCCCAGCCCTAGTTCAAATACAATATATCGGGCAAAATATTCTCTTTGGATTGCCTTAGATTACTGCGTTACGGCCAAAACCAAGATATTACAGTGTTTAAATGTCTTTAGTAAAACATTCCCCCAGCTCTCTGCGACAGTGAAGCCGCCGGGTTAAACATTATCGACGATCAAATCTAATGGACCTTAGCCTCATATTACGGAGCTTTTACGAGGCGTGAAGGAAACTGTTTAAAGGATTTGGGATTGTGGAGAGAGTGACAGAGTGAGATGTGATTGGTGGAAGCTCTTAAACACCCACGTCTGCGTTTTAATGATGAGAGATAAGAAGGAGCCCAGAAAGAACCTTATTTTTCAGCAGTGAATTCCAATGGGTTCTGTTAGCAGATTTGACAGCCCTCTTTGGAGTCATTTTACCCCTGGTCTTACCATGTGTAAACTCTGGTCCATGGTCATTTCCTACATGTACGTCTGGTCTTACCATGTGTAAACTCTGGTCCATGATCATCTCCTACATGTACGTCTGGGTCTGATCCTAGTGGCTGCAGTTTCCTCGGTTGAATCCTCTCCGACCAATCAGAGAGCGGGGGAGGCGGGTGTTGTAGGTCGGTGTCGGTGACGTCAAGAGTCTGTGCAGAATTTGCTGGTTGTAGTTTGTCGGAGAATGTGATAGTAAAATAATCTGTTCTGGTTCAATCCAAATATCAAGAAATTGAAGCCGGGGCAAGAGGAATGTTTAGTAAAAGTAATTTCTGCAAAGATGTTGTGGCTCTACTCCCCACGGGCTCCGTTAGTGGCAAAAGAGATGGCTAAAGCTAGGTTAAATGCTAAAGCTAGGTTAAATGCTAATGCTAGGTTAAATGCTAAAGCTAGGTTAAATGCTAAAGCTAGGTTAAAAGCTAAAGCTTAACTAAATGCTAAATGCCTCACTCACTCGGGCATATTACACACTGCATTAGTTTGAGCAATTTGCTCTGCACAGTAAACTAACCCTTACACTGTAGGAAAAAATCTCCCAGCTCGTAAACACAACTTTGCGAGTTCATGAGAAAAGTCCTGAAGGAATTTGGTTGTTTCTCACTGTAAACC